GCTGCGAAAACTGCACTGGCTCTCAAAACGTTGCCCCACCCTACCACATCCTGGAAAGCCAGCGGCGCGATCTCAGGGGCATAGTCCTTTGCGTCCCAATTGTAAGGAGCTTCGCTCATCAGTTGTATTCGTACACGGAACAACTGCTAGTTTTGGGGCCGAAGCTCCCTAATCCGTGGGTCATGCGTCCGCGATGTATGCAGTAGTAGCAGCAGTAGTAGTCGTCCTCATAGTAGCAGGTTGCCACCTTTCGTTTTAGGGGCAAAGCTCCTTATAACGGCACCCGTTCGTCCCTCGTAGTCGTAATGTGTAACCAGTCTTACGCTTTGACCTCCAAGGTGGTGCTGGTGGGAGATTTCTCCTGAGCGTTGTTGAACAATAAAAAAAATTCGCAGCGTGTGCGCTAACTAAAAGCCGAATTCTCCTGTCTCTCATTCCCTCTTAGCAGCCATTGACATGTACATTGAGCACTATCTGACAAGAAAGGGTTGCTACGTTATACTCGCTAGGCGTAACCTCCTTGGTTTTAGAAAGGTTTAGCGAGCGTTGGGCCGCAGTGCCATGAATACAGTGAACTAGTACATACCATGAACTCGAGGTGGGTAAAGGTGGGAAGTAGACACGAAGCGTAAGCCGTAAGAAAGTGTGCGTGTGCCTCCTCTCGTTCAGCCCTTGGAATGTCCGCTGGATGGCGGTGCTTCTATATGAGGAATATATGATGAAAAGATGCGAAATGGTGGTACTTGGAGTGTTGAATAGGTGGACGAATGGACACACAGATAGGTGCATGAACGGACGCACGGATGGCTGCACGGACGGATGGACGCATGGACGGACGCAGGAGCAGATGCATGGACAAACGCAGGGACGGACGCACAGATGAACGTGCGGACGCGCGAACAGACGCACGCACGGACGGGTGTATGGACGCACGGGCGGCCATACAGACGCACGCAAGGAAGGACGGAAGCAAGAACGAATGGACGGACGGATGCTTCGCCCCACTCTCCATCATTCACTTCGTGGATATGCTGCATGCCATTTTGTTTTGAATTCTACTATCATCAATCATTGTCTAGGAAAACGTAATTTAAGAAAAATGTTTGTAACTACGAATAAGTCAAGACAGACCCCATATTTTGATTCAATGTACCCTGACCTATACCCAAGTAATCTTTGTCCACATTGTGGGGAAATAGCTTCATTAGAACACATGCTCTGGCAGTTCACCAAATTCGCTCATATATCGAACATCACCTCTGCCAGATGGGAGGCGGCAATCCGCAGCTCGTCCTTGGCAGATCAGCTCTGGGCTGTCCACCAAGCCCGCGAGGCGGCTGAGGAGCTTGGCATCTCAGTCCCCACGTGGGAGCTGCCCGCAACACAGTGATCTGTCATTTGGAGGACCAAATAAAAGTTTATCCAATCCATTTATCAGAAGTGACAATGAACTGTATGATTACTTATGTCCTTCGTCGAACCCGTTGTGCCACTACCTAATGAGAATATCATGTGGTAACAGTGTAATAAAGTTAAAGACGCTATGAGTTGCTAGACGTTTCTTAATTGTGACATAATCGATTCATGACTTTAGTGAATATCAAAAATATATTTGGAAAGTTTTCTAGCAGTTACCTGGATTTTCTACGGAGGTTCTTTCTTCTATAGGCGGGACACACTTGACGAACTTCCTTTCATGAAGAAATCTTGTATCCCTCTATCGGTCAGTCAGTGGTCGTCTATCTTATATAAGTCAATGTCTCAAGCGTCCAAGTACTCTAAATCGTTACCCACATTTTTTAACCCCCGCCCTCTCCGGTCAGAGTCTGTTTTGTCATCCTGATTAGAGTATGTCAAAGAAGAAAATGTTCTGTTGAGTGTTATTGACGTTTGTGGCAATAGATTTTCTTTCTTGGAATGACCACTGGATGACGGTATTTGTATTCGATCATTCCAGTGACTATAGGCGGCGCAGTGGTAGGTCGAAATGGCGGACGAGACGATGATGTCCCGAGCGTTCACGTCAGCGTCGCAGAGCGTGAATACTCGTTCATTGGTTCATGACTACTGAGAGATCGATCGGCGCCACTGACTGCGTCGCAGATTATCACCGTACGACAGCTTCGGTGCAGGGCTGCATGGGGCCGCCTGCGTCGATGTAATGACCGAATAGGATGAATATATGATGAAAAGATGCGAGATGGCGGTACTTGGAGCGTTCACGAGATGGACGGACGGGTGGACAGACGGAAAGACAAACCGACGGAGTGACAGATAGATGGACAGACAGACAAATAGACGGCAGACAGACGGACGCCGATACGGACGGACCCACGGACGAAAGCACGGACGGACAGACGGACGCTCGGAAGCGCTCACGGGCGGACGCATGGATGGACCGAGGGTGGCTTCACCCCACTCGTCATCGTTCACTCCGTAATTACGCTGTGATTTTTTTTTTTTTACTGTGAAGTTCAGTTTGTAAGGACAATATCTCCAATGCAATATATAAGGTGGGCACGGCCACCAAAGCTTTACTTGCAGCAGCCCTCCATATTAATTGGCTACGGCTATCGCAACTCCAGGAGCTCGTCCTACGGCCGCCTCAAGGCGTTTCTGGCTCTATTTAGTTTCCGCGCCAAAGCGCACATCCGGGGCGAACGGGAACGTGCGGCCACCACGTTCGAGGCGTAATTAGCATGGAGGCCACAGCGAAAAACGCGATTACGTAGCTGACGAAATAAAGAACGGAGAGCAGTATGCGTGCGATGATTACTGCCGGTCACCATCTTGCGACGGGAGTTGGACGGCGGCGAGTCCAAGCACGGACGTCGTTGCTCTCGTTTCTTACCTTTCCAGTGTTCCGCAAAATGGCACGTGGAACGGCAAGCCTCCGGAGATTGCGCAGTTTTGTTCGGGCGGCGCACGCCTGGCAACACCTCCTAATTATTTCTCGCGGAAATGAAATGAGAATGGTAACGTTGTTTACCACGGTAATGGATGGTCCTCTTCTGTAATTCTGGTTTCTTGTTTTGCATTACCAACGGACTGACGGCAATTGTAGAGAAAGAAAATGCTGCTCAAAAGCGTGACCTTGCAGTTTCGCGACCCAATTTAGAGTGAAGCTGTGCGTTACTAGTAGGGTTGAAGCCAGAATATTTATTTAGATAAAGTTATGAGGAGAGGAGGGGAGGAAATAGGTTCTACCATCCTGTAAATATCCCATCCTTGTATAACTAGCGAGGCATAATTTTTCACGTGAAAAAAAGATTGTCTCTCTCTCCTCTTTCCTCTTCTTCTTTTTTTTCTGCAATAAAGCTCTTCATGGTTGATGATATCGTGTCCGAGGACCATCTTAGATCGCAGTGGGAATTACCTACAGAAAGTGCGAACATCCTGCTATGGGTATGCCCCATCCCTTCCACCACTGTCAACGCCCACGACTTACCACTACGACCACCACTGCTTTCTTCACTCCTCCCACTCTATTCAACTAGTTCACTCCCACTTCATTCCACCCCACTGCACGCCACCGGCTTCTCTGTTCCATCAAAGTCCGCCAGGTGGAGCTGGCTAACCTTTTTTTAGCGGTGAAGCTCCTTAGGGTGCACACTATTCCGGCGTCGTAGTAGTTGCGATAGCCACCGCTAGTACTAAGAGCGCGCACTAGATGGCAATGGCACAGTGGCGCTCGCACCGCTAGTACTCGGATTGCTCACTAGATCGTGCTGCGGCACTCGCTCCACTCCAATGCATGCTCTAGTGTGATAGGAGCAGACGGATGGACGGATAGACAGCCAGAGAAACGGACGGTTGGTCGGATGGAAGTTTCGCCCCAATCACCATCATTCACTCCGTGGATATGCTGTGAATGAATGTTCTTTTGTAGCGTGTCTCGATGCGCTGGTTCGCACTCTACCTTGTGTTTGTGTGTGTGTGTGTTTAGTTTAGGCATTTACTAAATACAACTATCAAAGCATGTTTTCAATCCTTAAGTAGTACTGCACTGAGCAGCATGACCTGAAAACTAGTGTGACTTACTTCATGCAGTATAGGCAGCAACACCCTTCTGGTTGTGTCGTCATAAAGTGCGTCTACATGTTTTTAAAATACGGCTACCGATAGTTGGGGCACCCTGTATACCCCCAAGTAATACATTATCGGTCTTCCATTCATCCCTCTTCAACCTCAGCCCCTCAACTCAGCCCGTGAAGGTTTTTCCCGGCAAGATACACGCGCTTATATCCCACCATGTTCCCACTCTCTTCACCTTACTAAGGACGTCATGATCAGTAGGATTTAACATAGGCGGGCACACGAGAGGTAGAGGCTAGTTACCTATCAGGGGTGGGGGGGGGGGGGGCGCAAAGTCTGCCCTGAACTTTGACCTATTGATTGATATGTGTCCCAAAACCACCATTTGATTATGAGAGACGCCGTAGTGGAGGGCTCCGGAAATTTCGACCACCTGGGGTTCTTTAACGTGCACCCAAATCTGAGCACACGGGCCTACAACATTTCCGCCTCCATCGGAAATGCAGCCGCCGCAGCTGGGATTTGAACCCGCGACCTGCGGGTCAGCAGCCGAGTACCTTAGCCACTAGACCACCGCGGCGGGGCTGAACTTTGACCTAATAGGCAGTGGTGCACTGCGATAAACCTTCCCCCATTTCCCTGAAGGGTGACTATAACACACGCCTATGGGCTTCGGGCAAAGGAGATCCTTCTCATACCAGCTGGTATCTCAACGTGGAACCGGTCGCACTTGCAGCTGGGTGCTACTCCAGTGATGCAATCTGACGTATATCATCCAACATAGACACTCTAAGGGTTACAGTCGGAACCCTACCGTCAACTCGTGCACGCGCAAAATTTAAATGTTTCTATGGGAGGAAGGTCGAACCCTTAACACTTCCTGGCTACGCCAATGAAGACTACCCATCTACAGCTCCACTGCAATAAGGCATAAAGAGGGCGCGAAAAAATAAGTACAAGATGTACTGTTTTAAACAATTTATTCATTTTTTTGTTCTTTACTATACATTCACTAGGACGAGAGAAAAAAAAATAACACACAATGAGTCAGTTGCACATGCGGCTTCGTTATGTACTTATCTGCCGCGATTTCGTGGCGTAAACGGAAAGCGCCATGGCACAAAGGGGAGAGACGAGGCCACGCGACACTCGGCATGGTGGCAGCTTGATCAGCGCCCTGGAGACGCGGTGGTTCGTTACGTGACCACGACCACGGGGCCTGCCATTAGGCGGTTCGCCGAACTGGAGGCTGTGGCGTGAATCGCGGGATGGCTGCAGTCGATGTGTTCGTGATTGAGTAAAGCCCCCAGTGATTTATTTCTCAAGACCAACACGTTGTTTCCTGCGCAGCATTCATATCGAGCGTAACATTCAGCCAATAAATTAGGGTGAGAGTTTCTGTTCTCAAATTTTTTTGTGGGCCAACAGCTCGCGAACTGCCCTATGCGCCGAATATTTGTTTATAGCAGTCACCAGGTGCCCTGAATAGCCTGAGACACGAGTCCATGAGCAGGGTAGCAAGCAAGATCACCGGGCCAGCTTTTTTTTTTTACTTATTTCAGAAATGGTTCAGAAATTGACTATTCTTGAGAAGCCCTCTCTATCAGTTCCCACACAACTATCTTATGACCAGTGATAAGCAAGTAGGTGCAACAATATCTCCCGCAAAATGACAAGAAAATATTGCAAAAGGAAAATATTTCATTTGGAGAATGAGTAACATTGTCAAGCTACAGCCCAAAATTTGAAGATAAATGCTTTTCTGTTACGGCGCAGTTTCTTTAATGACAAGCATTTTGAAGTTTGCGTAGCTGAATAACGTAAAGAGCATCAAAAATGATAATCTGGAAATTAATTCAGCACCGAAATATCCCAATGCACATATGAAATTTGATGTCTTGTTGCGTTTGCTTAACGAAGCCAGCGCACCAACCAGACTGTTGGACGAATTGGCACTGTTCAAATGCATGCCTGCGAGCAATACATACAGAATGCTTCTGAATAATCAAGAAAAGCTGGCTCGGCCATCCGACAGACATGGCTGTCTGCTGACCAATGAACAAGTCGCCCCATCAGTCTCTCAGGGAACTATACCGTGCAAGCAGCCAATCGCAGACCACTCGTAGCTTCTATGACAATGCCTTGCCAGACACACGTGCTGTCCAATGAAGGATAGCCCGGCTGGCCCAGTGTCGTTGCCATGACGACGTGATACCATCAGTTATTGAAGACGAAAATATCACAAAGCAGACTTACACTCTCTGCTTTTTCTTTTTTTCTGTGAGTGAAACATTTCATGCCTTCTCTCAGGACTCTTATTGTCTAACCAGTCACCTCCACTGGGTTTCGTTCATGTACAGATGGGCCCACTGTTAACGGGAACACATGCATGCAGAACAATGGCAGACTTTGATTTCTTGCAAGACGCGGTGGCTTAGATTTGTTTAAGACTACTGGTATCTGGCAGCTGCTGTGGTGAATGACAATGTAATCACTTCCACTTGCATCTAATGGGCCAGCAATACGACTGGTTATGATTCGAATGTTCTCTTTAACAGTGGAAGGTACTGTACCTTACGTTAAGGGAACAAAAAAAAAAAGCTTTTCCTATCGAAAGTTAATCGTGTCACTCGGGCAAGCATTGACGAATTTCAAACTGTCAGAGGGCGCAAAAGGAACGGACGACCACAAATACAAAACAAGAAATCAACAAACAAGGAAGCGATCTGCACGTAACAAAAACATAACACCGAACAAAAAGACTGTAAATATCGATACCTCAAGATTTGCACACATTTTTTCCACAATACATTGAGAAGATTGTAATTGAAGCTTCTGGGTCGCTACTTTTTTTTTGCCTTCAAGATAAGAAACGATTGGTTATACGAACATTTATCAACGATCCTGCTTAGTAACTCGAGAACTTGGACTCGTGCTGAACGCGTTTGAAGCTGCGTCTAGTAAAGGAAGGCAGTTTTGGCCGTAGCACGTAGGGCTCACAAGCAACGAAGTGAAGGCAGTGCCTATTTGTGTTAACTGACTTTGTTACACATATTGGAGATCTATATAGTGAAGCGAGGCGCGACGAAGGAAGCGCGACGGAGCAGGCCTAATGGAGGCGCTTTTAAGCTGTTTTCCGCCACAGGTACGCGAAGCAGCAAGTGGCATAGATTGCTCATTCCGTCTTTCGAGGCGAGATTTATCGTAGGTGGCTCTACGCATACACGTTTGATATCTTGCTCAGATAGGTGGTAGCCTTGGCTACGTCAGTGAACTGGCATATCAAACAGAAAGCTAGCAGTCTGCCGGGACATGAACAGGCCACCGTATTGTGACGTAATTCACGGTTATTGTCACTTAACAAGCGCATAACCTAAACCTTCACAACTATCCTTAACTTGACGTCACATAACAACGTCACTTTGCCAATGGCGTCACTGGAGGATGTACCAGTTGTCCGATGTTACGTTACGACTGCCTAATATGTCACAGCGTGGCAGTTACAAAAAATGACGTCAGTACACTGCTAATGTAGCGAGCGAAGTTGCCACTGTAAGTGTTGACACTGGTGAAGTCACCGATAAATGCGAATCACTGATGACGTCGACTGGGAACGTGGGTAAATAATGAAGCCGGGTCATTGCTGATGTAATTCCCGGAATTGTAATGTCCAGTTGAGTCAGTGACCAAGTTGTGCCCCTTGTGACGCCATTCACTGCAAGCTTGAACGCAGAAATAAAACGTTTGTGAAGCGCGACAGATTTTTGGCCAGCATTTTCTTTCCGTGTGTTGATGACTTTCAAATTTTCAGATCACTTGTTAATCTTACTATAATACACGATACGCTTGCGCGGAACGCGATTGACTATATTGAAAAGGTTTGGCAGACTCGATCGATTATTCGCGCCGACACAGGATAAAAGCAAAAGAAACGTCACACATCCATCCTCAGAAACATTCTGTTGTCACCACTTTGAAAACACTGTCGCACGCTGCTAGTGTCACTCATCCAAGTTCGAATCACGCCGAACACACCACACACCACACCACTGCTTCCTCTTGGATGACTCGTCTTCAAATCACATCCATGCGAAATCGTGATATCCAGTTGAGTAACACCACTGCAAGCACAGAACAAAACGGCTACTCATCTTGCCATAAACTAGACGCTGGATATGAGAGTACCTGTCTAGGAAAGAGCACGAGTCCGTTGTCACCGTCCCACTCTTCAATCGCAAGCAACGCGGAGCACCGAGAAGACACGTAGGTATTGAATTAAGGACCTGTCACATACCGTTGCAACTCCGCATCAGCGTAACACGTCCAGAAGGACTATCATCGCAGAACGTTAGCCTTTACAAAGATCCAGCTTTTCTTTGCTGGGTGTGGACAGTTTGAAGATACATACTGCCGTGGTCGACGAGTTACAAGCACCGTTAAGAATAACAACAAAAACACAGAAACGAAGGAGCAGTAGTATCTGCTCTTATTGACTAAATTACGCGCCGGATGTTGGCCCTGGCCCCTGGGACACCTCGTCAAGGGAACACACCATCTGTGTTCTGTCATTGTTCTCCGAAACTGCGTGACATCAGCAGCACACGGAGACTCAAGTGAACATATTTTGCCCAACAGATAGTTTGATCTCACTATAATCCTAACAGCAGAACACCATGCTCTCAAGCAAAAAAAGAATGATAACGTGTGAGCTGTTGCTGCACACAAGAAAAAGCTGAATTATATAGGTTCAGCGAGATATTAGCTGCACTTTGAAGGACTTTTTGCCAGGCTGGTGAATCCTAAGTAATAAAAAAAGCCTTGAATACTTCTTTTCCGCATCACCTGGCTTCTAGATCATATGTCTGGCCATGATTTTAATACATTGTTATACTTACGTTCTGATTAACTACTGAGACGAAACATCACGTACTGTACTTTAGCGAAGACAAGGCATTACAAGTGCATTGCCACTGACCCAGGACAATGCAAAGGGTTTTATCACACTGAACATGTCTGCTGTGGCAGGACCAAGTATTAAGTATGTGAGGATTAGATTTGTAGCCGCTCGGTTTTGTTATATCATGTTCGGTGCAAAAATATGGCTAAGGACAGAGTTCCCCCCCTACAGATGTCCGACGCTTCGACTTTCTTGTAATGAAGAAATAAACTATTCTTGTCCCACGCGGAGCAACATTGGCAGTTAGACTTATGTACATGTTGAGAAAGCTGGCAAAAAACCAAACATTAAGCAAGACGTAGTCAACGAAGAACACGACCGAAGATGGAAGTGTTGTGCTTCACAGGTACAAAGTGCCGACCTTCTTTCCCGAGCGTTCGGCGGCTGCCGCTATCTTTGCAGGCAAGTCTGCGTAGATGAACTGGTTCGCCTTGAGCTCGTTGTGCAGGAGCAAGTTGTACCTGTTGTTCGCTTCTACGTCCCAGAAGAGGTTGCTCAGAGACTTTGGCCGGGAAAGCTTGTGGGGAAGCACAGACCCTACTGTGCGGTCGTTTTTTGACCCCTTAGATCCGGAGCCTTTGGAACCAGAACCCTTGGAGCCACCGGAAGACGCGCCACCTCCGGAGTTGCTCGAGTCCAGGGTGTCGTTGAAGTCGACGGCCAAGTTAGTGAGCGACTTATAACGGATGTTGAACAGTGGCGAGGTCGTGATCGTGCCGTTAACGGGCTTGGTACCGCGGCATGTCCTCGGGTTCCTCGAAGAAGCCTTCTGGAACATTGCGTTAGGTGGTGGGGCCACTGACGTGTTTACGCTTCCCACAATAACGCCGTTGGGTGGGCAGTGGTGGTGCTGCGGGCATGGAGGGTGATGATGATGGTGGGGCACGTGGGGGTGGTGCATAGAGGCGTCCTTGATGGATGCTGCAGCGACAGGGATACGACCGGCATTGCGGAACATGCGAGGCTTGGCACTTCCGTTTCGTACCTGGTGCGAGCTCTTGACGAACAACTTGTTGTTAGGGGGCCTAGGTACACCCGAGGACCTGGGAAGGCCCGACCGACACGTCGGGGCGACGCTGCCTCCTTTGGACTTGTGCTCGTCCGAGGAACGCCTTATGACAGCCTCGTAGACGTGCGAGTCAGTGTCCTTGGCTCGTGCGGTTGGAGGTGACTTAATCACTGGCGCGGTCGTGGGTGGAGAGTTGGGGCCCGGATCGGTGGCCATAGAGAACCGCCTTGCCGGGATCGTTTCTATGGGAGGAGGCAGCGGCTTTTCCCGGGACGTGACCGACGCCGTGGGGCACCTGTGGGTGATGGCGACGATGGTGACGACTTCTCATATTCGCTGTTGCCGTCGCTGACGCCCTTGTATCAGCTCGGTCTTGATCTTCTCCGGAAGTGGGGCGAAGCCGCGCACGTAGTCGTATATCTGGTCGATCTCCTCGTACCGGTAGTCGTCGGGTGCCGGCATTGACTGGACCCTATCTACGCCGTTAGTCGATGGTACGATGGTGGTAGCGGGGGGACTTTGCGGAGGAGTCGGCTTGCCGTTCGGTTCGGAGAGACTCCGCTGCGGCGGCGTCTTGGACGAGAAGAAGTCGCTGCTGCTTCGTGTCGTTTCTAGAACTTCGATGGCGTCCATTCGGTCCTGCAGCCTCTTCGACCTGTAAAAGAAGGCAACAAACAACTTTTGCCACCGTACCCTAACCTGTGTCAGATTCAACTAGACTTATTTGTGAGATAGTTTCATTAGCACAAATGCTTGGCATATTAAAAGGGACAAACGCAAAGAAGTGTATCAAATGATTGGCGATAGCAGAATGCTAATAGAAAATGCATCTCGTTATTTAATATAACTATTTTCATTCGCCTTCGCGTAGTAACAGCAAGCCTTCTACCTAATACAGGTAGTAGAGCAACTACACTAATTGGTTGTCGGCCTCTGACGCACATTCGAGACCAAGACAGATATTCATTAAACTGCGAAGAAGTTCTCACAAAAACCTGTCTGTGTTCTGCAGCTTCTAGCACAAAAAAAAAGATCACAATTTCTTCCCTTTATCGAACTTTACCATTCATCCAACTTCCAGACTTCGGAAGCACTGATCTGTACTTTAGATGTCTATTGCAGAGACTCACCAATGATCACAATTTCTTCCCTTTATCGAATTTCACTACTCATCCAACTTTGAGACTTCGGAAGCACTTGTCTGTACTTTTGATCTCTATTGCAGTGACTCATTCAAATATACTAGTTCTTCAACCATTATGACCTGTTTCGTACATGTTCTGATAGGCCGTGTACAATGCAAATCCCTTCATTTTTATCGTATGAATTTAAAGGAGCCCTTTGCTAGGTGATACTTGGCAGTGTTATTTCTCTCTTCCTTAAGCCCAAAACCATAAATTATCTTCATACCTTATTTTTCACTTTATCCGACTTGTTACCAAACTCATTCGATAATACTCTCAGAAAGGCTTTCGAGTAGGCTTGAATTTTTTTTTTTTACCTGGAAGTAAACCTTCTTTCATCTTTCCGCCTCGCAAACAACTCGACTATGGGGCTCCAATCTACCAGTTCATGCTAACCTGTTTTGTTTATTTTCACAACGACCCTATCTATCTATCTATCTATCTATCTATCTATCTATCTATCTATCTATCTATCTATCTATCTATCTATCTATCTATCTATCTATCTATCTATCTATCTATCTATCTATCTATCTATCTATCTATCTATTTTAACGCAGCTTTGTTTTTCACAGCATTCGGCTTACTTTTCCGTGAGCCTCGTGTACTCCGGCATCTGCACTAGAGCATCGGCGTTCTTGGGCGCCTGCAGTCGCAGCGGCGCCGACTCCGGGAGCGACAGCGGAGGCGCGTCCTTCACCAAGGGCAAGGCCAGTACGCACTCCTCGCGCTCTACGCCGTACAGCCGGAGTTCGGAGGTCTTCAAGCCCGAGGGCGCCGGCCTGCCGTGCACGAGCCGGACCATGAGGGGAAACCGCTTGCAGAGCAGCGTCTTGACCGAGTGGACACCCGAGATGTTGCCTTCCTTGGCGATCGGCGAGAACTTGCCCCGTGACTCGGCCGACAGGTACACCGTCTCGCCGGCGGATGTCAGGCAGCGCAGAAACCGGCCGTGCGGCGCCGAAGACCGCAGCCTGGCCAGTGACGCGCGCACCATTGGAGACGTGTGCTGCGAGCAATCATATGTCGGAGCGCTCATTTAGGAAGGCACTGATAGACGCGCACTAGTACAACATGGTTACATAACCGCTGCGGTCACTGTTTCGCATGGTTGGTTCTTGCTTGTTATGTTGGGTCGTCAGGTTTCCTTTTTCGGAATTTACTAACAAAATATTTCATGGAGGTAAATGACCAATGGCCCTCCCACATTGAGAAAGCTTGTAAAAAGCTGCGAAATTTTTCATTCAAATGCGTACCTGTCTCCACATAAATAAAAATGCTGGCATCAAGAATCCGGCGTGCTGTACCCAGAGAAAGTACTAAACAAATAAACCCTTCACTACAAAAGACTACGCATGTGTAAAAGGCACATTTGGTTCCCTGAAGATGTACCAAAGAATAACGAACAAACATTACTTCACCGCTACGTAAAAGCGTGTCCCGTCAATTCAGGATGCACTGACATGCACTCACAAGCCCCAAGTTGAGCATTAAACGATACAGCTGCACAAATCTGTAGCTTAACGTCTAACCGCCGAGAGCTACACGTATACTTGTAATGAAACATGCAGAGAAACCTTGTGCACTTCACTTTCCAACATAGGTCGGGATTCTCTTAGATTGATTCGTGCAGTGCAGAAATCCAGCCGTTGTTTCTGCACTCATCCGTGATGCCATGGGTATGCCTTCCAGATCCGTATCATGCAGCAACAACGAATTTACAACGAAATCAAATAATACTCGCTTTTCCCCCTCAGCTTTTTGTGTGTCATAACACCAACAATTATCACAAGTAAGGCACCGAAATGTGAGCAAGTGCGCGCCAAATTACAAAAAAAATGCAACAACTATTGATTTCACGACAGCGTGCGATAGACGATGCTACAGACGATGCAAAACTCCTGCTAGGAAGTTCTTCAATCAATCAACTACCTGTTTATGAATAAACACTTCTGAGCAAAGTGCAAGCTAGCCTTGCCATGTGCAAGGAGGCCTTTCCCATACTTGCGACATAGGTCATTTCTGAAGGACATCTAGCGTCTGGATTCGAGAGACATGGATACTGATCTACAGAATAACATGCATCTGGATACCGAATTCAAAAATATAGTTTTGATTAAATGGTTATGCTTCAAGAGAAGGAGGAGGTGTGACATTAGGTGTCTAAAAAATGCTTGAGACTAGTGATGTCTCCGTAGCTCATGAACATACTTATTAAGGGAAGAAATATGCGACGAAGACAGGGAAACACGGGCAGGTCCACTAGCTAAACGTCAGCAGGCCGCTTCCTTGAGACCACGAGCTTATACCGTGTATATCGCATCCCATGCGATGAGGGAAGATCGGTAGTCTATAGTAAGCGCTAAAGTTTGTGCGGTTCAGTCTCTCTCGCCATACTGTTTCCCCACTCTGAACACAGCTCGAGGTCCCTATGCCGGTGTCGTCGCCACTCACCTCCTTGACGACGACGAGCGTCTCGCCCACCTGGAGCGTCCTCGTCTTGTCCGTCACCTGCTCGGGGTTGTCCTGGTGCGCCAAGTGGGCCTTGACTGGTTCGCGCACCAGGCAGGTGTCCGGCGAGCGGCGCATCAGCTCGGCGACGCTCTCGAAGCACCGAGAGGCACGTCCGTCCTCCGAGAGGATCTCGAACCAACCGCGGTAACCCTCGGGGATGGCCAGCCGCGGTCCGAGGGCCACGACCCGCTGCCGGTTCTCTTTGAACTTGACGCACTGGGCGCTGATGCGCAGCCGTGTTCCGAGCGGGGACAGAAACACCACGCTGCTCAGGCCGGGCGAGGAGAGCGACGGGACGCCAACGTGGCGGTGCTGTCCTCGCACCACGCGCGCGACCTGCGTACAAGACACGGACAAATGTTTAATCCTGGAGGATGCGTGCTAAAGCGTTTAGGGTTTCCGCGTTTGGACTCAAAGCTGCATCGCGGGCTTTTTAAATAGTTCATTTTCCGTCGGATAGGCTTTAGATTCACTGGACAGCGTCCCACTTTGCCGAGGTAGCATCGGAGTAGGAATCGTTGTACATAGGCGCTGCATCGCCAGTGCATGCGTCTAAACGTCGCGACGGGTACGTTGATTTCCTCACCTAACGCACTGCTTCTATACTATAACTGGCACTGCTAAGTGTCCGTTATTGTTGGCAAGTGCTGGCTAAACAATGACCGGTACCCGCACACTTTGGCTAGCAAATGTAAATGTCTAACTTGAGCTAAACACGGCCGAATGAATGCCAATGTTGTCTGCGGTGCTCGTCGACTTTTTTCAAAATGTCGCTCGATGTTCAGATATTCATTAAATGATGCCTAGTGTTGGCTGAACGATACAAAGTGTCAGCTAACATCGGTTATACGTCGCTATAACAGAAGCGTCATTTTCATCCAAGCTCCACTCTATGATAGGGTCATGTCTCAAGTTCGCACGCAGTTGCATTTTTTTTTTCGTTTTCAGCTATGTCTCGTATTTCAGCATTCGGTGCTCTTGAAGGCATTCACGTCCTTTAGTTGGGCGCTAGGAGGAACACGAGGGGCGTGCTCATAGACGTACGCCGAAGACAGCCGTGCTTAGGATGAGTACGCTTGTAAGGGTACGCTTATAAGCGTGACACATAGACGGGTACGCTTCGATAAATACGCTTAGTGGCTACGCAAAGAGGACAGCGAGAAATAGAAGCAGCGCATAGACATAAACGTTCTGACCATTTTTGCTACTAATTTCAGTCATACTAAGTGCTTCACCTGCGGCTCTGGAAATTTCTGCAGGAACTCTTGCAGCGGGACGCCGGTGTCGTCCCAGCGCACGGCAGACAGGTAGACGCTGGCGTCGCTACCCGACATGCTGCTTTCGAATTTCGGACCCAGCTTGACCAGATTAGATGCAAGGCAAGCGCGTCAAAGATTGGTGTGGCGTCCTTGCTGGGCTTCTGGATCCCCGACTTCCCTGTAAAATCACAAACATAAAAAACCAACACGTCAGCGAAATAGTTGGCAGTTGCTTAATTTTGAAGTTACAGAAGTTGGAAAGAGTGGATTATCGTTTGCTGTTTTATTGTGCCATCCTGTGAAATGGTAGCGTTCCATATATCTTTATCGTGCAAATAATCTCTTCGCTGCAGCCAAGTTTGTGAAAGGGGCAGAAGCCTCTGTCAGGCCTTGGTGCATTTTGCTCTTCCCACGCTTCTGTAATGTTACCAAAGAAATAAAGTCCTAAAGAAAAGAAGAAAATAATTGTCGATGTAAATAGCATCAGTGCGAGTCACTGTGACACTCAAGCTTTATGACACAGCTTCTTGGAGAAGGTGCTGCTTATGAAAGAGCACCAAGCGTCTGAACGCTATGGCTTCCACGAGGGAAAATTTTGAAAACATGAGCCTCTGCAAGAGAGACAACATTTATTATTTCTTTAAGTGGTGCATCGCGGGTGGGGCCTTTCTTTCAAGGCTCCAACTGGCTAGAGCAGCTGGGCGAACCTGACCCAGGGTCGCCAGTTGGCTTCCCTGGGTCCGTTCAGCGAGTCGCACCTCCCACGACCACGTTTGTGTGGGGTGCGTATGTCCTATATATGTCGACTGTGACAGGTCACACAGGACAGCTATAGGCTATATGTGTGTGTGTGGGAGTATCTCCGCACCATGGGCATGCATTGGGATACATAATGTGAAGCATAACATAATGTGACGCTTCTGTAGATTCGGGAATGTATTATTCTACAGGCGGCGCCAATCCCAAGCTTGATGCCTATCGAGGTCCTCGTGGGGAGGAGCCCGAATGTGTCGATCTAATCTTTGTCTAAGTGCTACGTCGTGTCACCCCTTCGTCTGTATCCTCTTCAGCGGTGGGTGGTCGTGGGGCTCGGCCGCTGAGTATTCGAGCTTGGCAATTAACCAATGCATTGCCCTCCTGGCACGTATGGACCGGACAACAGACTAACCCATGGTCAAAGAGGAGTTCGCTTCCCAACAGCTTGATGACCCTTGTCGATAACATGCCCTTGAGGTACATGCGACAAGCTGTCTGAGAGCACGTGAGCGGAGATACCCTGTTGGTCCGACATTCCAATGGCGAGAGCGATAGCATTCGCCTCGGCTGACACCGAGGGTGAAGTATACGTATATGGACGCTCAGTTGACAAGTTTATTCCGGTTGCCTGCAGCTAGAGCGAAAGCGGGAGAAAGATTGCTCTTGCTGTCTAAAAGTAGAGACTTTAAACGTCCGAGTGGTCCTCCACTTGTTGCAGCCTCTGTACTCGAGCTTCTCAGCATACTCTATGGTGGTACTGATGCATATTGCGAGCTATGGGCTGCGTCATGATGCGCTGTCTGAGATTTTGTGAGGGTAGGTTGGTGGCTTCCGAACAATATTGCGGTGAGATGGAAAATCAGAGTCGTTCTCGCTGGAAGATTAGTGTGGCAGCTGCCAGTTCCTCGAAGGTATCCCCCCCCCCCCCACTTCAAGCAGGTGTACCGTCGTTCCTTGATCTGGTTTCGCGTTGTTTAACACAATAAACGTTGTGGTAAACAACCATTACGTGAATAGATCAGTAGTGGCCCCTCTTATAGAGGCACCAACATCTGACGTATTACGGTTGTTATTATAAAAAAACTATGTAAGAGTTGTACAACTGGCGTTCGTCGAAGCGAAAAGACAAGTAGCAAATTTTAGGACAGTCACCACGTGCTGAGCAAAGGAATCGAACATTTCATTTGCAGCAAGCACACAGCCCGAACGTAGGCTATTTGTGTCACCCACCTTTTGAAACAAAAAAAAAATGAGACGGATATATCTAGACAAACACGGATACACGCCGAAAGAGAGAGAATAAAAATGTTAAATTTGAGCGAGAGCCTCTTCTTGGTTCGCGCTATGCTTTCGATTAACATTGAACGAATAGAACCGAACAAGATAGACGGAAGGGGTCCATAACCATTGCCATTGTTAAGCGGGAGAAGCAGTGACTCGCGACTAAGTCAACGAAAGCAGTAGAGCGCGCCAGCAAAAAGCCCATTGAACTTATTTTCAAGTGGGTATGCCAACCAGACTCCGGTGTTTGAACGATTGTGCAGAGGCCAGTGTGACGAAGTGAACGTCACGTCAGCAGTGAGCAGAAGACAATATCAAGGAGCCAACTCGTAAAACTTGACGAAGTAAAAACAAACATAGGTCGGTGCGCCAGAACTAACGCAAAGTGCTTCTGTATAGCCAGCCTATATTCACAGTTCTTGCGTGTAGGCAGCAATGTGTCGAGCTGAGAGCCCGCACGCGCCGCCCATGCACGGTAATTAATCACGATGATTGCGAAGCGAAGTAAAACTTATAGATTTAGCTTTACAGATATTGCGATGGTGGCACAGTTGTAGCATTCATTGATAGGGAGGGTTTAACGTCCCAAAACCACCATTTGAATATGAGAGACACCGTAGCATAGGGCTCCGGAGATTTCGGCCACCTGGGGTTCTTTAACGTGCACCCACATCTGAGCACACGGGCCTACAACATTTCCGCCTCCATGGGAAATGCAGCCGCCGCAGCCGGGATTCGATCTCGCGACCTGCGGGTCAGCAGGCTAGTACCTTAGCCACTAGGCCACCGCGGCGGGGCCAGTTGTAGCGTGAAAAATATACCGGCACCACGAGCACCCGCTTCGGACTTGGAATCACGCACCCTTGCCATTCAGTCTTTGTCGAATATGCGAGAAAGAAATTGCCGAAATCGTAAGTACCGCCTTTTTATGCACACCAGTATAATGTCCGACGCATTAACGATGCATGATTTGCAGATGGCTTTAAGACGTTCAGCTGCAACTTGACACGTAACCTTCGCCAGAAAATGCTCTAGATGCATATTACGTCAGCTTTTTTTTTTTTGCGTTGCTGTTATTCGTTCCTTTTTATTTAGGTTGACGTAATAACATCCACCAAAGACGTTGTTTAGACTTAACGCAGGCGTGACGTGAGGTTGGTGAGGACTCGGGAGCTAGACGAATGAACAGTCAAGATGACTTTCACTCTTCTTTGAGGCTATTGCAATGTTTCCGTGACACGCGTCAGCCCAATGGCTGGAGGTCCTTGCATATTCACAAGTGTAAGACTTCAAAAGATTTTTTTCATCTTTTTTTTTCAATCTTCAGCTGCAGATCCGCCAGACGTAAGTTTTTCAGTTATCACCAGAAATACCAGCAGACGGTCATCATTTTCAGGAATGAGCACACTACCCAAGTACGAGCAAACACAGAAAGACAAAAAAAAACTGGTTCTTGCTTATCACAAATAGCTAGGAACAATCGAAATGGCGTTGAAGAATCGAAATCTTAATTACACGGTCGCAATCATTCAACGTATCTTATCAATGTACATACAATGAAAGTTGGAGAACAATGATTTCTAGTTTTGCTTCTTACGTTTTTTTTTCTGGGCGCGCTCTACGCACACCTATATAGATCGCGCGAGCTCATTTCGTATGCAAGCACTGGATGGTGCATCGTTTTCGCGTTCGCAACGTGGGAGGGTACAGCGCGCCCTGGCGCGCCCACCAACGCAACGTTGAAAACACTGCACGTGCACACGCGGCCGTTAACAGCACAACACATCCGCATCTGTGGACTACTTCCGCGTCGAAGATGCACCTCGCCTCGGCAGGCAGTGCCGCATAGTTTCGTCATCTTTCACTTCACCGATTATTAAACGAGGAAGAAAAAACGACAACACACAACTCTGGTAGACACGACGCAGGAGGTCCCGAAAGAAACGAAACGGGCATGGGCGTAAAATGGACGATCCTTCGAAAAGGAAAGAAATAAAAGAGTACAAGGCTAAGCGAAAGACAATCGCAACGAGTTGTGAACAAATGAACAGCAAAAAAATAGAGAGAGAGAGAGTGGCCGGAAGCAGCGAAATGCTTTGAACCGACGTTATCTTTCAAGTGCGAACGCATTGACAGTAATGAAAGCGGCGAAGTGCATGTCGGAGAGCGAGAAAGCTTTCCACAGGTGGCGTTTCCCGCCTATGTGTCTTAAAAGTATAGGGGCTTTAACGTGCCTGACATATAGGCTGGACCATCGCAATAATTCCCTAGCGCTGCGCCAATTGGTATGTGCGTCACTTCGGGTGTAGGCTCTGTTTGGGAAAGGCACGGAGATTTCTTTTCCGGACGTTCAGATCTAATCTGCGCTTGTGTCGTATATAACGGTGCCCTTTCCGAGGTAATGCGAAATTAGCGCTGCAAATTTATCTATCCCCGAAATATAAAGCTGAATTTGCGAAGGTTTCCGTGTACACAAATACACACTGAACGAGGAGAGTTTACGGGACGTCGACCATACGGCAAAAGAGAATTTTCACTATACTTTAATATACCACCTTTCTACTTTGTTAATAGATAACCTGTGTAATTCTCAAAAACTAGTACAAGCTTTGGCCGCACATAACAAACACACAAAGTAAAGGAACACTCAACGACAAGCACGAGCGGCCAAGCGTTGAGCGTTCTTTTACTTTGTGTGTGTGTTATTTGCGGCCAAAGCATGTCACTAAGCAAGCACCAACTAGGCCAACAATCAGTATTAGTATACAAGCCAAACGTTTACAATAAAATAAATGTTTTCGGTCTGATGAAGATGTTTCCTTTTTTTTTCTCCGCGAACCTCGAGTACCGTAAACCACTGCTGGGTGGGCACGTTCAATTGATTTACACATCTTTTCCAAGAAAAGAAACGATTAACTAGTCTGGACTTCAAAAAACGGAACGCAGTGCACATAATCTTGAAGACGTTTCGAACTTTGTAAATAGTGCAGTCTACGTCTGAATGGCTGCATGTATTGTGCGTGTGTCAGTGTATATGTAACAGTTATCACATAGCACCTGGAGTAGCGCGTCAGGCATATAGCCAAGCAAATATGCCGAGCTCTTCATTAATTTTTTTCTATCTGTCTGTCTCTCTCT